GAGGAAAAGGACATCTTTTTTTGGTGCTAGTTCTAGAGGGTGTTGTAGGTCTTCATAGAAGCGGTCAACTTCAGCTTCTTCGGCATCAGTGGTTGGGGCATAGACTTGGATTACTGTGATGTTGAATGGTTTGCCTTGGATACGCACTGAGATCATTCTGTTGTTTTTGAGGTTGTACCCCATTACTGCCTTTCCCACTCTCTTATTGTCCATGGGGTTTTCTTGGCAAGGATACTGGAGTGGGTTGCCATTTCCTTCTCCAGTGGGTCACATTTTGTCGGAACTCTCTGTCATGACCTGTCCGTCTTGGGTGGCCCTGCACGGTATAGCTCATGGCTTCAGTGAGTTACACAAGCCCCTTCGTCACAACAAGGCAGTGATCCATGAAGGGGCCTGAAACTCTAGCTAGCTGAAAATGTAGCCAACCCTCATATAGTAGGCTCCAGAACTGGCAAAGTCTGGAATCCAACATGGATAATTCTGATTGGCTGCAATCTTTCACATTCACAAAGATGACATGCAAGGGAAAGTGGCAGCTGCTGTAAAGGAGTTGCAGAGGTGCGCTATTATTTGGACTTCCATGTGCTCAAAGCAACTCTTTCCCTTTGAATCCAAAGTGCTTCACAGGTCTAATAACATACAGTCACAAGGCTATTTGCAATTGTAGATTTAAACCACTTTTCCCCAAACTGGCACTCTCCAGATGTATTGGATTACAACAATTTTCACTTCCATAGCTAGGTTGACTGGGTAATGAGATCTATTGGACCATAGTTTGCATCAAGAATATTAAGTTAGGGGAAGCTGATTTAAAGATTTTTCAAAATGATCAAGTCTCACACAGCTTATGGATGAGTTTACTTCAAGCAGGCATTATATAGTGACTTAAAAGCTAGCTGGCAAAAAATGGCCAAGCTAAGATAGAAACGGACCAACTGATGAAACTGCATCAGATGCAGCATCCAGAGATACCTCGGCAGTGTATAGTTTATGTAACAGGGATTTACCAACTCTCCCCTCTTGCTTTAGCAACCACTTTTGAACTTTCAAAGAACAACTCTGGCGGTAGGTCCAGAGGTACTCCAGAACAGGAAAGAATGTGCTGGGGAGGAAACCCTTGCATGAATTTTGGTTTACCAAAGAGACTTTCCAGATCCCAGCCTATATCTTCATGTGCCATCTGGAAAGGCTGAAAAGAGACCAGTCTTTCCAAATTGGTACCCTCCAGCTGTATTGCACTGGATTTGTTACAACACTGTTGGTGGGCACCAGACTGAAAGCTGCAGCAGATTCTGAGTAGGTTAGACTCCCACTGCCTAATGTAATAATTAACTGGTACAGAAATGCCTGTTATTTTGCTTACCAAACCTTTGCTCATGTATATCAAACCTATGCCCTAAGAAAAGAGTGCTACTGAATTTGATAATGGGATAAAACAAGTATAAGGTAGAGGTCTGCCACTCATCCTTCTCCTTTAATTAGAGACAAATGTATTTGCAGGATTTTGTAAAAGCTTAATCTACACTTTATATAGAATGACTCAAAGAGAGCAGTGTGTAGCACATGAAGAACTTAGGACAGAGAGAAAATGAAAAGGTATCAGCTGTCTCCTGCAGTCCTGTTGATGCTGCCAGGCCTGCTCAACCCCCAACACTTGCCATCCAAAGTTTAATGGCATAGGACATACTTTATGTGTATTTGCTCCTGGGCTCCATGGTATAGATAACCTATTACATGTGTGAAAACTCCCTTGGTTACATCTTCATTTTTGTATGAGACTTGACAAAACTAACAAGCTCATACAAAAATCAAAACTAGAGAAAATTCAGGATATTCCTTGATATGTACCTTCACTATTGACCATGATTGAAGCAGTTCCAGTTGCAGCATCCTCTGTTTGACTTACAAATTCTAGGGTAAGAAGAAAAAAAGTTGAATAGATCTTTCAGCAAATATACAAATTAGCAAGTTACTTCAGTAAACATTACAGCTGAACAACTGGCATTTAAAATGTTAATAATGAATACCAATGCCAGAAGCGGGAAAACATAAATACTAAATTACACCCACATGACAGCAAACACAAGCTCAAGATTAATTAATTGTGGCTAATTCTGTATTTCAGAAAAAAACTGATCTAAATTTAGTACAGACATTACTGGCAGTTGCAGTGTGCTTGTTATTCACACAGACATGCAAATCAAAGTCATGGTTAAAACAGTATGCATTTGCTATGTTTATTTGGGAAAAGCATCACCTATAAAGCAACTCCTTTAGCTCAGGAAACAGAATAAACCAAGCCTTGGCTTAATTAGAGTAACAGCACTCTCCTATCTATGTTTATCTGGATGTAAGTTTACTTCCCCATAAATGTGTTGAAGATAGTAGCTTAAAAATGGATTTTACTCTAAATTTAACAGTGTCTAGCCAAATCCTTCCTGGAAGCCTACAACATGTCTAATGGCTATAGCATGTTCAAGTTTTCACCTCTTTCTATAAATAGTATTCTGAGGACTATTTCATCTGTAAGAAAGATTCCATTTATGTACTTTTGTAACAGATACAGACCATAGGTTGGAAACCTTTGCCCTTGATACCTTGTTATTTGCCATTAGCCTCAGCCAATGCACCCAATAATCAAGAAAAATGAGAGTTGTCCTCTATCAATAAGTAGTGGGATATAGATTCTCCCACTGTTGTGTAGAGAGAACTATACTCCATGAATCTGTAAAATTCCTTTTTAAAACCACCTAAGCAATGGCTGTCAGGCTCCCTCTTTTTAAAACCACCTAACCAATGGCTGTCAGACTGGGGGAGTAAATCACACATTTCCTGAGACTTCATTACTTAGCTTGATTCCTTGGCTAGACTTGACAGAAGATTCACAGTTGGGCTAATGAAGCCTTAAACTCAACAGCTGATTGCTCACTGCCAGTGAGAAGATGTCAAATACTTTTATAGTCTTGATTACACTCATGGTGTGTTGGAATGCCTAGGAAGGCAAAGGAGGAAATAGGACTATTGCAAAAAAGATACTTCAGCCCAAAGGGAGTATGGAAGCATGAGGAAGAGACACAGAGCAGCTAGGTATAAACTGAGTGGGAAAATTGCTTTGATATGCTTTTAAATTGTTATATTATCCAACTAGCAATAAAGATATTTTCAGAAACCCAAATGGTTCTTGTTTCCTGAGTTTACCATCCTCAGAGGGCTTGACACATGGCTTCTTCCCCATCTTTTTGAATTAACAGATACTCTGTGTGACACTTGGTAGCCCTGAAGCTAAATGACTGTTCTATATTAACATAACAGCCATCTTTGCCCTGGGAATTGCTGGTTTCCATCTCAGCCTTCATACTGGTTATCCTCACAGCCTGCATTGACAAAGTCTGTAATTTGTATACTAAACCACAATATGGGTGTTAAATCCAATCACCTGAAACTTTAATCTGTGACTTAACAGAGTGGGTGAATCAAGCCTATATATTATGTAGGAAGAAGTATTTTTTGTCTGTCTTATGCTGGCAGTCACTTTTATTGAGTCCTAATATTATGAAGAGTGGTAGATCTTTGTTTTCTATTCTATTCAATTTCTCAGCATTGAGCAGAACTTTGCAAATCTTATATTTAGAATATAATGATTAGTGATATAATTTGGATTATTAATTATATATTAATTAAAATAAGGATTTAGAGCAGAGTTTTGGGTGAGGGGTCAAGGGTGAAATGTTGTCTTAAGCCTAGCGAGGTGTAAGGTATCAATTTTGCTGCTTTAACCTCCAAAATCCCCCAAAGACAGGCCAGAGGTTTAGCTCCATCCGCTTCAGGGGATAGTGGGTGCTGGTGATGTTCTGGGGACCACAAACATGGCCTTTATGGCTGCTCCATAAAGGCCAACCTATGATTTAGAGGACTGGTTTATTTAACATTACTATTATTCACCTTTCACTCTTTGTGAAAAGTTATAGTTTAGTAATTTGAAAGCACATGGTTTGTGCGGAGGAGATCTCTTGTTCAATCTTTGTAGTCTTTATGTAGGACTAAGAAAGCCCTTGACTGAAAATCTGAATGGCTGCTGCCTATAAATCCTTGTTTTTCTGATTAGAAACTCTTAAAATAAGTTAAATTGTCAAACTTTTACCTGTTGGAATCCCATTTTTTTTAAAGTTTTCAATGTAGTCATTACCAAAAGAATCCTTCCCAACCTACAGAGCAAAAACAAACAACATTACATACTTCAGTTTATCCAGCTGGTCTTGGACAACATTCTCAAGGATGGGCATATGTTGCTGAGCTTTCATTAACCCTGGAATCGGAGACCACCCCTGAAATATCTGCTTTGTAGCTATTGAAGTATTTCAAAATGCAAATATTCTGGATATGCAAGAATGAAAATATATTGGGTGTTTTAAAAACCAATAAAATTTATTCTATACTTCTCCACTGTCATAACATTTCAGAAACAGAAGCTTTATATTCCTCAATATTACTACAACTCATCCTTAATAAATATGATGTCATTGGCTTTAAAACATAATTAAACCCCCTTTTTAATGGTTTCCTCAGAAGCAAGTACTACTGAATTCAGTGGTGCCTCTTCCCATCTAAATGAATATAGCATTGAAGACTTGGAGAGTAATACTGTTTGTCTCTGGAACAAGTGCATTTAAAAGTTCATTGGAGTTGGCCAGCCAATAAATTTAAACAAAATAAATAATTAAATAAATAAAATATTTTTAAACAATAAAATGCTACAGAATATTTTAACAATATATAATGTGAAACCTAGATTTTCCAACTGTGCATTTAATATTAGGGGCAAAACTGACTTTGATGATCAAATCACAAAACCTAATACTTTAAAATATTATGTTCTATAATATTAAAATGTCATTACAGGTAGCTACTATTCTGGAGGAATAACTTCAGAAATAAGACAGATTGTTGAAAATACACTGTTATGGCTATAGAACCAAAAAAAAAAACCAAAAACCTAGCA